TTTTGAGCATCAACAAACCTGTTGTCTCTCAAACACTCATCTGTAATATGGGAACAATAATACCTCTGTCTCAGAGTTGCTGCAAAAAATAAATGCTGTAAAGTCAGCAGAAAGCACCTAGGCCTCCAGTAGCAACCCAGCAAGAGGTGCTGGTTCCCGTCCTGCTCTCTCTCCATGGCTTCTACGTCAATCAGAGAGTCTGCGGCTCTGGAGCCCCTGGTTGCTGTTTTCTTTGGAATTGATGGATTAGCCCATTGATTCTTTAAATCGTTCTTTTTCTTGGTCATGTGTCCAAGCTGCATTTAGAGCTGGGTAATACAGTGTTCCTTCCTGGTATCTGCCAGTGTCCTCTGAGGCCTTTTTTCATTCATCTTCCCTGGCACCTGAAGCCTGAGGATGGCCTGGTTTCTAATCCCCAGGCGGGCCCGCTTCCTCCCCAGTCTCTTTCCCAGGCGTCATGTCGCCTGATCTCCAAAGCCTGGGGCACATCACCAAATCCCTGGCTCTACTGGTGTCACTGGGAAGGTGACCTGTCCCAGCCTGCCGAGATCCCTAGGTCAGCTTTCCAGAACCCTTTGGGTCTTTATCCAAATAGCACCTTGGCTGCTATCTGGGCCTTAGCTTCCTAGGTTATATTTTGCGAGATGAATGGCAAGGAGAAAACTGTTAAATCTCCGCTCTGCGTCCTGAGGCATCGCTTCTGTGAAACCTTTGTATTTCCTCAGCACTTTCAGCCAGATGTCTTTGTTCTCTTTTATTCTCTGAAGCAAGGGTGAGGGTTGTATAGGTAATACTCAAGAAGCATTCATTATGTGCCAAACATGGCTAAGCGCCCTGTGTATATCATTTCATTTAATCCTTATGACACCCCTATGGAGGAAATATCACTATTATCCCCATTTTACAGATGGGGCTGAAAAGTTAAATAACTGACCTGAGGTCTCAAACCTGGGAGGGGCGGAGACAAGATATTAACCTGGATAGTCAGCTCCAAAATCCATTCCCTTAACCACCTCTAATAGGGAATTAACATAGGGGCAATGTATGCAGAATGAAAAGTGATTAATTACTCTTGATGTTTTCCAAGTTTGGGATAAGAAAGAGCATACTTAAAGCTGTAGTAAGTGGCGTGAAGTGAGACATCAGGCAACTTCCTGTTTCAAAGAATCAACAGCAGGGCTACTGTGATCCTATGTACAGGACGCCTCGGTACTAAATAGTGGATCTCTTAGGGTTTGCAAAAACCAGGTGCCCTTCTGTAGGGAGGAGAGGTGGAATTTATAAGTGAAGAATTGGGACCGGAAAGAGGATTTAGAACTTCTGGAAGGTGATCAGAGAATCAATCCATTAATATTTGTCAAGGATTATGTTTAAGGTACTTTAAGAAGAATTTACTGAGATTTTCTTCTGTGTAAGTCCCTATGCCAGGATCCAAGGAAGACGGGCTGGGCCACCTCCTGGGTTCTTTCCAGCTTCAGCAGACCAGACAGCCTCATAGTTTAGGCAGGTGCAGGGCAGACTTGATGGCCCCTCTTTTTCTTCTTGGTTCTGCTATGACAAGGTCCAAGAACTCTTGCTATGGGGCTGGGGCAGCTTTACAATGTCTAGACTCCATCCAGACTTAGTTCCAGATCTCCTTCCCAAGTGGGTTCGAGCAGAACAATGTCCCTGATTTACAAGTTTGTGAGGGCGTCTCTCCCTCTAAGGGCTCATCTGAACCTTTTCTGGTCTGTTCCAAGGCGGGTTTAATGTCAGTTCTTTTTGATCTATCATCTGGACATAAATTTACAGGAGTGTCACTATTCACTTAGTTATTGGTTCATTATTCTCCAAACAGTTATTAATAGTCTCATATGTGACAAACTCCGTGCAAGAGCCCAGGGATGTAGAGATCAAAGAATTCTGTCTGTTCCTGCTCTCAAGGGCCCACTGTCTAGTGGCAGAGACAGACAACTTCAGAACAGGTTGCACCATGTCCCCAGATCCATCCCGGCTTAGGGGGACAACCTAGAAAATCTGTCCCTTGATCTGGGTCCCCCACTGGTCCTGTGTTTTTAGTATGGCTACATTTGCCATCCATCATACCAATTAATTAATTAATTGCTTTTTATTTTATATTCTGGAAGTCTGGGTGTTTTGAAGGGAAAATGCAAATGTATGCAAATCAGCACACAAATTTATGCAAAGACAACATGGAAATGTGTCTCCAGATTTCTTGGGAAAAAATTCTAGAGGCCTCAGCCAGTCCCTCAGAAGGCTGCCTGTTCCCAGGCCTGTCCTGTCTTCCCTTTTGTTTGGGTTCTTAATCTGTGCTGGGCTCCCCGCCTGGCCACTCTGAGGTCAGTAACGCAGGTGGGCAAGCAGCAGCCTGGCCATCTATTATCCCGAAACCTCTCAGCTTCCTAAGCCACCAGAAAACTCCTTTATTCCCTAGAATCAGCTTTCATTTGACACAAGCAAGAGATGTCCTACCATTTTCCCTATGACCAGGTCTCAGAAAACACTCAGATGCTGAGTTTCAGGTTTGGAGCTTGACTGGACAAAGGGGCTTAATGGAGAAGGTTCTTGGCAGCAACTGTTGGTGGTTCTTGAAAAACAAATCCCAACCATTTTATTGACCATCTTCTGTGTGCACAGCGTGGTTCCCCAGAGAGCTGGGAGACAACAGTGAGGGATGGGGAGGCCAGGGCTGGGAAGACGGCAGAAACTCTGTGGCTCTTCAAGGTAAGGCTGCCCAGCAGGAGTCATGGTGATAAACAGCCTGTCTCCTGCTCTGGACAGGAAACCTCGTGGAAGCTGCATGGTGGAAGGAGGGGCTGAGGGCAGAGGCTGACAGAGACAGCATGAGAGGGGCATCAGCCTCGTCGACTTACAGAGTGTCATTGGGTAGTCGGTGGCTTTGCAGAGTCAGGGAGCAAGGGGAGCTGGACAGAGCCCAGCGCTCAGCCAGAGTGGACAGAACAGCGGAAGGGAGGGCTGACCCAAGGGAGAAGCTGACCACCTGTGGCCAGGAGAGCAAGGACACAGCGCTGTGTCTGGGTCTGCGCTTAGGCATATGCCAGCACACGCGCCATCAACTTGTCAAGCGTGGCCAGTCCCTGGTGAAACGCGGAAGCTGAAGGCTGCCTGAAGCATTCGATTTAGGCTGGATGTGAAGAGCTTCCGGAGGGTGGGCGTTGTGAGATACCAGAACAGGTGACTAAGAGAGGATGCTAAATCTCCTTCCCTTGGAGACTCATTGAAACAAATCTGAAACCCATTTGTTGTGTGGGAGAGAAGGCACAGTTCTGTCTGGAGGCAGGGGGTGGGCTGGCTGACTTCTGGGAGTCCGCAGAGACTAAGGATAGATCTACCCAAGTAGATATATGCACGACATCAACTGGCCTGCTCATGTGTAGCCATGCCCAGGGACACAGAGTTTGGTCTTTTCTACTCTCTTTCCCTCCCTCCTTCCAAAGAGAGTCTCAGTAGATACATCAGTGGGTCAAGCCATCCCCTCCAGTATGAAAAGGAGCTCTGTTTTGGGGGATCACTCGCCACTTCTCCCTTCTCGACCTCTCTGGGGGATCTCCCCCCTCCAGGCCGGCAGTGCTGGGCAGCCTCGTTGCCATTCCGGCCAGAGCCTGGAGCTCAGCCCTCTGGAGGGGCACAGGGCAGCGTTCTGGCAAGCGAGCATGTCAGAGCGGCTCTGGCGTTTCCCTAGAACAATTCAAATTGCTTTTTTTACACCTCACTGCACTATGCCAACCCTGATTCACATTATTTGTGCACTCGCTAAGTGTACATTATCTGATCCGTCACCCTGTAAAACGCTGCAAGAGGAATCTGTGGCTCCTGTCTGTTGCTGACTGTGGGTCAGGCACAGAAGTCTCTGTACAAATATTTTTGCAAAATGGGACGGAAGGAATAAACCCACCGCCGCCGCTGCCGACAATGGCCCACCGTGGCTGTGGGCTGTGAGGGGAAAGTCCCAGCCTCCAACTCGGATTCTCCTGGAAAAGACAGTTCAACCAGAAAGCTCCAGAACCTTTCTTTCCATGGCCTCCTTTCTGTGTCACATTATTTAACAGGAAGAGACAGGCAGGAGGGGAAAGAAGTCTTTGAACCCAGCTATGCAGATTCCCTCTGACTGCCTTTAAGGGTCTGCAGAGAGCTGGAGGCAGAGGGAGAGTGGGGAGGCATCGAAAAAGAGCAGGAGGGACAATAGTCTCTGTCTTGTGAATATCTCAGGCTCTCTAGGGGTGAATAGGGCTCCCTGTTATGCTCAGCACAAGGTACTCTGAAAATTGATCAAAGCCCCTGGAATCCTTCCATTCTGGGTCAGCTGGGAGCTTTGCTAACTGGCAGCTCCCCATACCAAGGCCTAGAAATAGCTTATCTGTAGGAAGCCCAAGTATTCTAAAGTTAGTAGGGAATTGATGGCTCTTGCTTTTGACCAGACATCATCCTGCCCTTCTGCTTATCGCCCTTATAAATCTGGGTAAGTGGGACACTTTTGTTCTTTGAGATCTCACTCTGTCCCAAATGGTCACTGAAATTTTGGAATTCACCCCGTTGGAGGATAAAGGTCTCATTTCTAAATGGAAACAGGGAGGACCTCCTGTCTGTGGGATGAAAGTGCTTATCCAAATTTGAAAGTGGATCACCCTCTCTGCAGGGAGAGCTTCAGATTCCTCTTCACATTTAAGACGAAGGACTGGCTCTGCAAGGGTCCAGGTTTCCCCGCACCATCTCAGCTGTGCGTTTCATTTGCGGCATGTGTGTGGAGAACACACAGGGTGCGTCCGCCTGTCCCAGAGCCTGTGGAATGGAGGAAGCAGAGCACGAAAAAGATCTGGACCCTGCCCTGGGGTTGCTTCTGATCTGGTCGGGTTGACAAATAGCCGTCTTTCGCAGCTGTTCCTGATTTGGCTCCAGCCCCAGGGCTCCTGAAGGACACTTCGCAGCAGTGAAGCCCAGGGGTTGCCCCGCTGAGAACCACATTCCCTTTCTTTTGGCAGGAACCGGCAGCTTCCACATGGGAGCTCACATCTCAATGAAAACAAGAAATCGGAGGCCTCACTGACAACTCATTCTCTCCACCTTCGTTCTGGGGAACGGCGACTTCCTGTTCCAGCTGCCATATTGTTGTCACAACCCCTGATGCACCATCACTTACAAACAGCCATAATTATGCATGGGGGAAAAAAAGCCACAGATAATAGGCTTCCATTAGATTAAGTAGTTATATGGATCAAAAAAAAAATAAAACCTATACTTTGGCTAATTAAACCCACTCACCATCTGATTAAGATGTGTTGCGAGACCATGGAAAAGTACCAACCGCTAACTGTAAGTAATCCGGCCCAGATGGGAATTAATAGTATATTCCCTGGCTTTGAGATAATGGATCTCCCTAGAGGTTGATCAGAATCATTAAGAAGCACGGACAAGATGGACAGTCCCAAACAGCTGGTGCCTGATGCTGGGGTTGGGGCAGGCCATGCTCCCAATAAAATCAGCTTCTCAATTCTATTCTACCTGCTGAGAGAAGCTGAAAAGGGGGGGGATAGATGTGCTGCCCTCTTGAGATGCCATTAAGAGGTGGGGTTCTACTGGAGTTCTAGACCAGCTGTCTGGGCTCAAGTGAGCCAAGGAGAAATTGAGATCCCGCTTCTCAGCTGTGCAGGGATCTCTGCGCTTCCAGGGTATCTGGAAACCAGAGCCCCACTGTTCTGGGAAGCCAGCATGCCCATTGCTGAGAGTGGCACTCTCCTGGGGCAAGGCTTGGGTTACAGGGACCCAAGCCTCCGGGCAGGGGGCTGGCTGACATAGCCCAAGGCTGCTGTTTTGAGATCTTAGAATCCAGGCAACCCCCGAGTAACATCTGGCAGAAGCAGCATGGGGAGTGAGGCAGGGATCCAAGGGCCAGGAGCTGGCAGTCCAGAGCGCCCCCAGACAGAGTGTGTCCAATGCCCATTTAGCAGCTACTCTCCGGCCTCCAGCCTCTGTCCTTCAGAGCAGCTGTGAGGAGAGCTCCCGGGCCCTGCCTTCTAATTACCACTAATTAGGTAAATGCTGAGATGCCTCTCTCAGCCCTCCTCCCACGAAGCAACAGAGACATACACAGAGAGGTCAAAAGAGCCTTTTCCAAATGGAGACAGGCAGGGATGACATGGCCTGAATACCAAGCAGCCACTGCCCAAGGGAAGGGGAGAGGGGACGAGGGCAGCGCGGCCAGGCTTCTGAGTGCAGTAGCCTCTGGGGAGGCACCCAGAGAAAAGAAGGAGGAAGCCAGACACAGGTGAGAAGCTGCAGGTCGGAGCTCCTGCATTCCCAGCCTGGGCTCCTAGCTCCTTCCCTTGGAGCAGCAGAGCTGTCTGGTGGAGGAGGGAAATAACATAGTCAAGCTTCCAGAGTTTCTCCCGCAGGGGTTGGCATCCTGAGCTCCTGGGTCCTTCACGTCTATGGGTTTCATCCTGCTGGTTGTCTGGATGAGAGGTAAGCCGGCTAGGCTTGCTGAGGCTCTGTGGGGGTCAAAGGCACAGTAGACACCAAAAACAATGGTGCAGGCTTCCCTCGGGGGAGTGCAGGTTGGGTCCCAGACCACCGAGATGAGGCGATACTGCAACGAATCTGAGCCCCACAGATGCTTTTTATTTCCCAGTGCCTTATAAAAGTTACATCTACACTAACTGTAGTCTGGTGTAATATGCAATAGAATTGTGACTTATATATATATATTAATTAAAAATACTTTATCGATTAAAAAATGCTGACACAGAGAGATGAAGTGAGCTCACGTTGCTGGAAAAGTGGGGGCGATAGACTCGCTTGATTCAGGGTTGCCACAAATCTTAACTTCTAAAAAAATGCCAAGTCTCTGAAACATCATAAAGCAAAGGGCAATAAAACGAGGCCTGCCTCTCGTTGTTCTCCCCCTTGCCGTCAGGCTGTGGGTGTGAGCAACGGCCTATCCCTGAAACAGGCGCAGAATCTCATGGATTTTAGGTTTGAGGTAATAAATTGGCTTCAAAATTTTCTCTCTCTTTTTTTTTTTTTTTT